TCACTTAAAAGTGTCCCTGTCCTTTCCAATTTCTGAGCCAAGGACTGTATAGTCGATTTCGCTGGCTTCTTGCGAACTCCAAACTTCCTCCTGAATTCCAATTGTGTGTTCGCAATCGAGCCTGTCACCCAGTACGTGCGCACGAGAAACACTCGCTGTTCAACAGTATATACTCCATGACTGTCGCCTGCGCACTGCAGACACGTTTCGGGATTGTCCTTGACCTTGCAGCATAAAGGCTGCCACTTGCCGGATCATGCGCGCACCATTCGACTCAGCACGGCCCACGGATTATTATGTCGTAATTGTGAGCGGTTATATGCATCACCTGCGGAATTATTAGCAAATTCATTGGGCCGGTTCTATACGATTCATCCTGTAGTTTATTTTTACTATTGAAGAGAAAAGTCGTAATTTTTTAATGGAATGGATCCGTGATGCATTTATTTATCACTTACTGCTTCTGGAAAATACTTAGAAAACCTGGACTGCAGATTAACCAAGTGATTTTGACACACTGATCAGTTTCAACGTGAATTACTTCCACACTGTTTTCCTCCACAAAATTCTTCAAACGAGGAAACATGTGCATGCAGTCTTTTCCCATCTAGTTTTCTGACCCGCAAGCCCAACTTCCCAATAAATGCCTTCACTTTATGAGCCACTACGACGATGTTGGTATCGATCCCTTGCATACTTGTGTTCAGTGTGTGCAATGTATAGAAGAACCACTTCAGAACGCTAACTTAGAAACAAAATGTTCAGTACGAAAACGTTCAGCATTTGCTATATCTCGCTCTTCTAAAAAGAGTGATGATACTTCTCGCAAGCTGTAAACATGAGCCACAGCTCTTCTTTTGACAGATAACGAGAATTAGGCCGAGGGCGCACCTAAGAAACTGGCAACCGCAACCCAACCGCAATTTCCGAGAATTGTTATCAGCCTGAGTTGAGGACATGTTGCAGAATGGAGCAGCGCAATCTGAGGAAACGGCAATGCAGGACTATGACCGCAAGGGCTCAGTCGAGAAAAAAAACTTGTCATATCAAGGGGTTACTACTATTTGCTGTAGGCTTATCGTCTGGTTTTCTTTTTATACCCATTACAAATCGATGCATTATTNCCATCTACCCACCTACCTACCTACCTACCTACAGCTCTACAGTCATTTTGTTGGACCTTGGCAACTTTTTCAGTTTCTTATTCCTATACACAGTTGGTAGAACTCCTTGGACGGGGGATCAGCCTGGCGCAAGGCCGCTACTACACACACACAATAAACGCACACAGACTCGCTAAACACATTCCCGCGACAACGAATACTCATGCAACAGTCGGATAATTTCCGTTTCTATGCAACGGCGCTGTAAATACAATAGAGGAAGCGGTGTTTTCTATGTGGTTCGCATATATCCATAACAGGGCAAACTACGTGTTTTCCGTGAGGTGCGACCCGTGTCTGTCTAACGAGAAGCCAACAATCAAGACCGCAACTGTCAAACAGCATAAGCCGCAGATTGAGTTCAGCACCAGTGACTTTGACTTTGCACTGACAGTTAACCCGTGTGGAGGCGGGTTCGAATACAAGTACCTCCACCGTGACCCTGCAAGTCGTAGGAGGCGACGAAAAGAGAAGTCTCAAATTTGAGACAGTAAAATACGGCCGCGAGTACCTAGGGACTTCGGACTCGAGAAAGACTGCGCTGGCAAGGACCAGCAGCATAAACAAAAGACAGACCCGTGCTCTCGTCAGAGAGGGCGCTCCACATGAAACAAGACCGTAAATATCGTCCTGACTGGCTGGCTGACTGACTGGCCGACCGTCAGTCGTAATATGACTGACTTGAATTGATTTGAGTTAAAGGTTCAGCTGTGGAGTGTTAACCAGCGGGCAGCGGAAGCCCATAATCTCCATTGATAAGATTCGTTACCAGGAAACGTCCAGTGAAGACACGGCAGAGGAGTGGCCATTGCGGAGAACTGTTGCCAAGTAATGACTAGCGGGAAAGGACAGAGAACTTAGTGTAGAGTGATTTGCAGTGTGGAAATCAGCCATACTCTTAGACGTAGGTATTTGTAGCTACGCCCTGCAAATGGTCAGTGAATTATTCACCAATCCCAAGTCCCGTCTATAGTCACTAATACACGTGACATTACGACTTCCCTTTTAACAAGGAATCTCACTCACTACGGAGGGCCTATGCACGAAGTTAGTTTCGTCTTGTATATAGGTGCCCCAAAAGTCAGGTGGTTAATAAAATTTACGACGAAATACGTTAAAATTTGTTCTTGAATTCACAGAAATTGCTCTAAATTAGATCCTTCATGTTCAAGGCGCTACTCACAGCTCTGTTATTTCGTTCTACAAGTTTTCTGGCAGGTTTACATGTGAACATTCCCGTTAATACGAGACAGTATTGTAGGAAGGTCTTCTGGGGCACTCTGTATATTTAACATATTGTTTTTAGATGAGAATAACCGTACAAAAATCGTAATTGTGAGATGATTTATCGTAATGGTTTCAAGTACTGAGTGTTTGCTGTACCACCGCCCCTCCAGACTGACACTGAGTGCATGTGTGTTTATCAGATCTGTTGGCTGTGAGGAAGCTTGTCAGTAAGATATGGCAGGCAGCAATCCAAAAGTGAAACAATTTAAAGATGTATATCTGTTTATCAGTCGTCCTCTCCATCCATCCATCCATCCATCCATCCATCCGTCCGTCCGTCCGTCCGTCCGTCCGTCCATGGCACTACAGCCCTTTGTTGAAGGACCTTCGCCGGTTTTTCAGTTTCTTAATCCTTTACACGGTAGGACTCCTTGGACGGGGGATCAGCCCGTCGCAAGGCCGCTACTTGCACAAACAGAATGAACGGATACACAGACATGATGCAAAAGATGTATATTTAACCAATCAACATGTAGAAACTTCCCTATGTAGGATGTAAGGTAAAGGTAAAGTTGTCCCTGTGCACTATGCCATGAAGACGTATGGGGGAGAGTGGAGGTGTAGCTGCACCATTCTTGACCGCGGCACTAGGTGGATGTGAGTGGTCAGTTTCACGCCTCGGCCGCTTTACCCCCTGGGGAAAGAACCCCCGTTACCATTGAATAAGAGGTTGAGAAATTGGCCTGGACGAAAAATTGGCGGTGAAAAATTTCTTGACTCTTCCTGGACTCGAACTTCGATACCTCTCGGTCGTCCAACCCGTAGCCAGTCGCTATACCGACTACGCTATGCCGGCAGTTGAATATAGATAGTAGTGTTATCCGATTTCTGTAGTCAAGGGGCGTAACACTAGTGACATTTGTCGAAGAATAATAGTTCATTATGACGGTAACTGTATGGCTCAGAGGAAATTTGGGAAGGTAGTGAAAACATTAAAGGAGGGCGGACGAATGTTAATGATGAACATTCTGGTTGACCATAAACCATTATCATGTGTTAAAATTAAAGAGATAATGAATTAATGTATTCGTAGCAACCGAGGAATCAGCACTGTTGAAACTGCATGTAAAAGGGCGTAGAAGTGAGAACAGCAGGACAAACACATTGTGACGCGGATCGTAATTTCGAGTGGACCATACCGTCTGTAACCAGTCATAAATCTTGATGTCACTTCTTCGTCCACCCGTTTATTTCACCTTAACATCAATGCTTAGTGACTGCGCTGCCATCTATTTTCGTCTTCTTTCTGCCTGAACCGTATTAACTTGTTCACAGGACCGCCTTCTTTATGTATACTTCTACACATATCTGCGCTGGGCGATTGACAATAGATTCAGAGACCAGCAGCTGACAGGGTTCAACTGAAAACACGGACCCAGGACGATGGTGAATCCCCGCAGGAATTCGCCACTGACATCGAACAAGTGACCATCCGTACCTTTTCTGTACTACAGAAGGGCCACATTCGTAAGGGAGGACGCAAGGCATTAATCAAGGGCATAAGATAACGAAGCACAAATCAGAAGTTGGTTCTGGGAATCGAGAGAACTGTCGGCTAGGCTCTCAGGCACACATTCGAGCTGGAAGTTGTAAAGTTAACATCGAACTCTGGGGAACGTGTGGCAGGACATTGTGGAGGAGCCGGTGCCCTCCCAAACAAAAAGAACACACTACCGACGACTTGCGTGTCGGTGTTCTAGGAGCACCGGCCACTTCCAGAGGTTGTCTCCACAGCCCGGAAGAATAAATGACAATATACAAATGGGCTACTCGAGACGAGTAGCCTTAAGAAGTGAGAACTGTAACATGGCTGCTTAATCATTATCAGTTGCTAGACAACGGCTCGATAAACAAATTTCCGCGGCAACGGATAACATACGCAACAGCAGAGGAAGCCTTCGAATGGGTGTTTTCTGTGCCGTCCCGTGAGACTCGGAACCAAGGATCACTGTGCTGGAGAGGATCAGCAGCAGTTTACGGAGTTGAACTGGGCAGTCAGTGTAACTGTGGTGCAGCAAACATAGCGCCTACACAGAAAGACACCTATATGTTTGTGAGAACAAAAATCTTTCTCGTAGATCTCGACGAGACCTGATGCCAAGAATGACTGTGTTGGTAAGGACCAGCAGTAATTTAGCAGTCCGTCATGAGTTGCGAGTTATTCGCCGTTTGAGTTGTTAGATTGTCAAAGGCCGGAAACGACGTGAGCAGAAGAGGCGATTGTTGGGATCCTTTACCGGGCAACCACTAGTGAAGATATAGCATGTGCTGTAGTGCGAAGTTGAGTGCGCGAATTAGCGACAGCGCTATAATTACTTGTACTCGTAGTTAGGATTTATAAATATTCAATAAATCCAATTACCAATCCAAACCCCGTATCTAGTCACTAACAGATCAGAATATATAGATAACTACTGTGTTGATAGTTTTGTCAAGGCATAATAAAATTGTCTTTTATATTATACTAATCTATGTAGGAGTGATAGAACGATTCATAAATATTCCCTTAGTACGAACATAATTCCTAAATCCATATATGTACTGTTTCAGGGTTTCATATCTGGGTCGTCGTTGCGTGACGGAAGACCAGTGCAGACAGCTGAACCACTCATATATGGATACTTTGGTACCCGAATACGGAAGAAGCTGCTGGCCTTTCAATGGGTCGTGCGTTGACCAGTGTCCACCAGGATATGAGGAACTGAACAACGGCACAATCACAGTAGGTTGCCAACCTTGCCAGGGACGGTGCAGCCACGAATGTGTTGGAGGACTTGTAAGCAGCATAGAAGATGCCCAGAAGCTTCGCGGATGTACCACAATTCTGGACTCTCTAGAAATCTTCATCCGTGGTTATGGCAATCATATTGTCAGGGAACTGGAAGAGAATCTCGCTGCTATTGAAGAAATTCAGGGCTACCTGAAAGTGTCGCGCTCTTTCCCACTTACATCGCTGAATTTCCTTAAGAACCTCCATATCATTCACGGTAACAGACTTGAAGACAACCGGTATGCCTTGCTAGTGCTTGAGAACCAGAACTTGCAGGAGTTGTGGAACTGGTCTGCGAGACCGCAGGGTTTACAATTGAGGATTCTTAAAGGGCACCTAAGGTTTCATTACAACCCAAAACTGTGCTTATCCGAGATAGATAAATTGCAAGAGATATCTGGAGCTCCAAACTATACTAACTTCGATGTAGCTCGAGAGTCAAACGGTGATAAAGTGGCTTGTAACGTAATTACTCTTCATGCGAACTCAACTGTCAAATCATCAACAAGTGTCTTAATTGAATGGGAACCTTGTTTAGTGCCTGACCCCAGCTCTGTTCTGGGTTATATGGTATATTATATAGAAGCTCCAGAACAGAACGTAACTGAGCACGATGGCTTGGATGCTTGTGGAGACTGTGGTTGGCATGTCATAGATGTTCCATATGGCACAGATGAAAACAACGTTCAATATGCGTCTCAACCTGGTAACTTGGTGAAGTTCGTTCCACATCTTGAACCATTCACACAGTATGCTTTCTATGTGAAGACATATACAAAGAGTAATATAGGAGGACAGAGCAAAATAAAATACTTTAGGACACTTTCAGATAGGTCTTCTGTCCCGAAAGAAATTCACGCCTTTTCAAACTCTACCTCTAACATAATTTTACATTGGCAACCTCCTGAACATCCCAATGGTATCCTAACCCATTATCTTGTGTCGGGTATATGGCAACGAGATGATCAGGCGTTCCTAGACCAACAGAATTACTGTTACCATCCCCTTCTTCATACATCAGGTCATGATGTGCCTGTTATGCCTCTAAGTACCAGTGATACAGTTAGTGCACAAACATGCTGTGAGAAAGGAAAATCCGAGCCACTTGTCTTGATTGAAGATGAAGATGAGTATAATATGTTGTGTGGAACTGGGGCATCGAAGAAAAATAAAATCTTTGATGTGTATGGTGTAGAGATTGATCCATGTAGGAACTACTTTTATTCTTTTATCCACAGTGGAATACCGGAACTGACAGATCAGGAAGAAGAAATAGGTACTAGGTTTCCAGTTTTGCGTTCTTCAGTCTCATCTCCGCAGAAGGTGGTACCAGCATCCAATAATCATACGGTAATGAACAGCTATGGTGTCTATGAAAAATTTCTCAAACAAGTAAATGCTAATACAACGCAGATAGTCCTGAATCACATGCATCATTTTGCAGAGTACACAATCAAAGTGATTGCTTGTCATGAGTCACATTATGCACATTCACAGAAATATAGCACAAATGACATCGATGTCACAGATTATGAATGGTGTAGTCCGGCTGGGCTTGTGACTGTTCGAACAAAGTATCTTCCTGTTGCAGATAAAATAGATTCAGATCACTTATCTGCACAAGTCTCCAATGGAACATCCAGGACCGTGAGACTGACTTGGAAAGAACCAAAATCACCCAATGGACTCATAGTAGCGTACCGTGTTGAATATCGTCGTACAGACAGTGAAACATTGAATCCAATTGTTAAGTGCTTAACAAGGAAAGAATATTTGAAAAATGGAAGGGGCTATATTTTGAATAACTTGCATCCTGGTAACTACAGTTTCCGTGTAAAAGCCACATCTCTGGCTGCAGAAGGACCTTTTACAAAATTGTTTCACTTTTCTGTGGAGGAACTTCCTGCTGAATCATCCTGGGGGTCTCTGATCTGGGTTTTAATTTGTGGTTTGCTTTTGTTGATTGCTTTTACAGCAGCAGCCACATTGTGGTGGAAAAGGAGAGCAAAGGAGAGGCGATTGATGATAATTGCATCAGTTAACCCTGACTACATGAGCGCTGGTGATGCAATTTATGTGGAAGACGAATGGGAAGTTGCACGTGAAAAACTCCAACTTGTAAGAGAATTAGGCCAGGGTTCATTTGGTATGGTATATGAAGGACTTCTTAAACCTGAAGATATTCGCTGTGCAGTTAAGATGATAAACGAAAATACGTCTGTCAGAGAAAAGATGGAATTCCTTAATGAGGCTACTATGATGAAATCGTTTGCAGGGGCACATCATGTTGTGAATCTTTTGGGTGTTGTCTCCCGAGGACAACCTGCTCTTGTTATCATGGAGCTGATGGCTCGAGGGGACCTGAAGTCATACCTTAGATCATGCAGAGAACCTCCACCGTCGCCTCCAGATCTTCGCCGCATATTGCTTATGGCTGCTCAGGTAGCCGATGGTATGGCTTACCTTGATGCTCATAAATTTGTTCATCGTGATTTAGCAGCAAGGAACTGCATGGTTGCTGAAGATCTGACCGTAAAGATAGGGGACTTTGGCATGACAAGGGATATCTATGAGACTGATTACTATCGAAATGGAAGCAAGGGACTGCTGCCAATACGATGGATGTCTCCTGAGAGTTTAGCAGATGGGATATTTACTAGCCAGTCTGATGTGTGGAGTTTTGGTGTTGTTCTCTGGGAAATGGCAACATTGGCAGAGCAGCCATATCAAGGCTTGGCGAATGAGCAAGTACTTCAGTTTGTTCTGGGAGGAGGTATTCTAGAGCGCCCACTCTGCTGCCCTGATGTACTTCACCGGTTAATGATAGCATGCTGGCAGAGGAGACCTTCCCGTCGACCAAGATTCTTACAGATAGTCATGGATCTGGAGACAGTTAGTGACCTTGGTCAGAAATTCCAGCATGTCTCATTCTACCACAGCAAAGAAGGGCAGATAATGAAAGCAAACATGGCTCAGCAGCAGGATCTGGACTTATCGTGTGAATTAGCATGTGGTGAGGTGTTCACGAGCTCTCCTCCAGTTTCCTTCTACCAGCTGCTAGAAGAAGAAACTGTACCTTCAGAGGTCAGCACAGTTAAACATCAAGGAGCAGTGGATGATAGTTATGTACTTCCTGGTAACCTTCGAGGTCAGTTAGCCCAAGATTACAGTAATCCTCAGCACAGCATGAAAACTTCAGTTCCAATTACAGTTCCTAATCAGCGTGATATTTCAAGTGACACTTACGTGTTGCCCGGTAGTCTTGTGGAGTCATCAGATTGGTGTGTTCCAGAACATTTATCTGGAATTCCAGAAGCTGAGTGTCTTCTTCCCCATAAAAGTTCAGACTTAGTACTGCAGTGCAGTAACTCTGAAATTGTTCCCCCGAGAAGAATTACTCAAATAGGACCTTCTGTGGTTAGAAGAACTTCACATTTGGTCCCTGAAGATGGATATGTGCCTGCAGATAGTGTTTACATTCAGTCAGAGGATAATGATCTTACAGCTACATCTCAAATGTTTGGTGCGTCAGATATGAAAGTATCATCTGTGGAACCAGGGGATAGCTATATACCTGCTGAGGGTATCTCCCTACAGCCAACACATGACACTTCTAAAGTATGTTACTTCCATTCACCTGCAGTTACATCACAAAACTGTGTTCCTCCAGAAAGTAGTAGTATGGACAGTGATGCAAGATCACAGGCTGAAAGTTGTAAGCATCTAGTGGCTTCTGTTTCATCTGAGAGTGAAGCCAATCTATCAAGTCAAGACAATTTTGTTCCTGCTGACACTGTCGATAATCAGCCTCCAGCAGGAGACTCTTTTGCTCATCAGATTCCAAGGAAACTGTTACTTTCGATTCCAGAAGACTGTAGGGTAGGTGTGCCTGAAGAAAATCTTCATGAAGAAGAGAGGTTGAAAGGTAATAGTGACAGCAGACATAGACTCACTAATGGTATGGTAAATGGTTTATATTTCCCTCCCACATCAAGAGCCAATGAATATGTTTGACCTTTCAAATAGAATTTCTGATTGACTTCACCAGATGTAGTGTTTGCTCAGTATTTGCCATTATCTTATATGATACCAATTACAGGTAGTCTTCATTTTAAACATACATTAGCCTAAAAACTCCGTGAATATGCAGTGACTGTTGCAAATTATATTTTTCCATTGTTTCAAATGCAATTAAATTTAAAAACTGATGGACATCATTATGAGTGTACATATTAACAAATAGGACTGAGTGATTCAGTCTTAATATATCTAATTGCACTGTTTGAACTACAGAGGTTATATGATACTGAATGAGATGAGAACGAGGTGCAGATTACTGTTCAACATATAATTATGTATATATATATGTTAATGGGTGATCCAAGTATCTTGAAAATATACTGCATTTTAATGTGTAGTTGGTCTGTATTTCACACATAACTTAAATCAATGATGTGTAAGCTTCATCAGATGCCTAAACTCACACTCTCATAAGTTTAGTACAGATTTGCATTAAAATATACTAAGTGGTTCCTCTCTAGTTCTCAGAATGTACCGCAAATTAATCATTTTGAAAGGAAGCATGAGATAGCTCATCTGAGAGTTCAGGGATTCTTGTTGGTGGCAAAATGTAGATATACTAACTACGCATGTAATTAACATAGTGCATTTTCAAGTTACTTGAGTCACCCCATAATACAGAAGGACAGATAATTTTAGTTTGAAATTTGTGGCACAGCATTTTATCTGACATTCACACTCTTTTGGAAACATGAAAAAGGGGAAGTTCAGTTCCCTTGTATTGACGAAAACATACATGTTCACTGGTGGTTCTGCTTTCTATAACTGTTCATTTGTTAGTACCATAGTTTCAAGTTAAAATGTTTTCTATTTTGAAAATGAATATTGTTAGTAATTCAGGATGTTGTTTATCTTTCCCATTACTAAAATTTAAACCTTGGTTCTCACTTGAATCATATAAATATATACACAGGGAACTATATGTTAAGTAATATATTTACACAAAACTATATATTAATGTGAAATATTTACAGGAATTTTTCCATTAATGTTCTTTTGTAATCATGAGTAAGAAACTAAGAACCTACATTATTTGCGCAGTCACATTTGTCATCTCAACCATACTGAAATGTCTATATGTAAAATTACATCCTTACTGTGTCCATGCATAATATAAACAGACATTTTTGTCTGTCAAAGAACTTACTTTGCTAAATATGAAAATTCTGATGTACTTGCAGTTAATTAAGGTGTATAAATTCAATTGCTTGTATTCTGTAGTATGCCAATTTCCTTTCAGGCCAGGCAAATGCCAAATGGAAAATGGATGCCTGAGTGCAGTGGAAGGGGAAGGAAGCCCCAGCCATATATCAAGGCTTTCACTTCTCTAAAAATATTGAAATTTTTGTGATGATGCAAAAGTGTAATGTAAGTTCACTGAAATCACCATGGACAACAAAAGCATTAACTTCATAAAATTAATTTAAAATCAGTAAAGACTGGACTTTGTTGAGCAATATTGGATTCTGACCTAGTTCAGTAAAGGCACTGAAGAATGTCAGATACATTTTTTATTTATTTAACGTTGCATCAACTGCCTAGGTTATGTAACATGAAACAAAGGTATCCCTCATTTTACAAATTTTTTTGACACAATGAAGTTGTTAATTTCTACCTATTTTTCACTTAATGAACTTCATTTTCACTACAACGAACAGTTTGTAAGATTGGCAACGTTTGCATTTAAAGTAATGGGGGCTTCAATTTTATTTAAGAAGTTCACCTTACAAAGAACTTTTGTGGAATGAATTACCTTTGTAAACTGAGGGATAAATGTAGTTTGTTTGTTGGTGAACTCTAAATTGGAAATGATGTTGTTATGGCCTGTTTTAGGGAACTATCCTGGCATGTTCCTGGAGGGGCTGAATAAAAGTACAAAAAGCACAAGGCACAAGATTTTAAAAAGGAGTATTAACCACTCAACCATGACATTGAGAATAGCAAAGGTTGACCTCTCCATTCCATACTTGTGATGTCTGATTTTATCACAAGATTTTTAAAATGTTTACGTGTCTAACAAACAGTTCAGGATACTCTTACACCTATGTGTAGTTATGGCATATAAATATTGTTCCAGGTTTCTTTGTAAGTATGAAAAAAATGTGTGTGTAATATTACAAGCATCAAACATAAAAGTCATCCTGAATGTTTGAAATATATGAATTAATAATGTACAAAACTGCTGGATTATCTAGGTTAGCTATAATACAAGTTACAAGACAGAAGTGCTGCTTTGAGGAAAATATTTTAAATTGTTATTTCTATGACAAAGTACACCAAGTTTTAGTTTATGAAAGGGATATATTCCTTGGAAATCATATGTGATAACAAGTTGGTAATCAGAAATTTATTTCCTTCCAATGGTGACCTGAAATAATATGTTGACAGAAATGGGCAGATTATTTTGAGAAAAAGAAAATGGCTAATAAACTGTAAACAACAGAGTACAATTGCTGCATTTGGCTGTCTGAGAAGTGGGGATATGGAGGAAAGTGCTGTAACATGGGTCTTAGCTTCTTAATGCTGAAGTAGACATTAACAAATCATGGCAAAAGGAGAAACAAATCTTTTTAAACATGTTAAATCTTTTTAATGGAACATTCATAGAATGAGTTGGTATAGCTGTCATCTGAATGAACGATGTCAATTTTAAATGCTTTTTCATAATATTTTGTGAATGCAATGCATGTTAATCATTTCCTGAAACATCATGGCTTTATGTAGGAAATGTGTTGTAAAGTTTAATACTGTTGTAAGTCACATTCCTTATGCTGAACACTGCTGGCTTAATGTGCAGTGCAGACTTTCTCAGATATATGGTTTGTGGGTAGCTGGTGCTCATATTAGGCGGCTGGAAGTAGAGTGGTTTGAACATAACTTATTTCTTTGATGAGTTATTTAATGATGATGTCGGTGAACATAACTTCACATCAGAACAGTAGTGTTGAACTGCATGACCCTTGTCTATAAAAGTACTCACAAATAGTGTAACAGGCCATGGAGGCTCTTAGTATTGTCAGACATTGAGGATCCCATATTTTTAGGCAGTCAGCTCACAGATAGTGGTGAGGTTGTCAGCCTTGTGCACTGGCCGCCCTTTACCCTGAGGAAGATTCCTGGAACTCATTTCTCTTAGAGGCTGAGTCCACCCCTGGTACATAGTGCGGCTGGAAGGATTAAGTCAATTTAAAACCCAATGACCTCATCAAGAATTAATCCCATGACCTTCTGGCTTGTAGCATTTTGCCATAACCAGCTAAACTACCGCATGCCCAGAGCACTTTCTGTACTCTCTCCAAATATGAGCAATGTTCAGTGTTAGAGGAAGGTAATAATTTCTTCATTATGAATTTATAATAATTTGGTTTTTGTTTTATTTTATCAGTGTTAGTTCTTGAAAATAACCAGTCTGTGGTTTTGTTTGGATACTATTGAATATAGGTGCCTTAACCATGAAAAGGCCTGCATATTTGAAACTGTGTGAAGTTATAACCCATTGTACTTTTACCAGAGTTCAGCACAAAAAAAAAAGGTGTGTCGTGACTGGATTTGCCATCAGTTATTCCTCATATCGAATGGCCATATTTTAAACTTGTATGGTGAATGTATACATAGTTTCAGAAAAATAATGCACATACTGAACAGCAGATACACACATTGTACTTAATCAACCTGTTGTATTTTCTCATAATCTGATATGTTCATGTAAGAGAGTATAGTTTGATAGTCTGTAATATAAGCAACACTTTCTTCCAAAAATATGTTTGCTGGTACTGTCATGCTTGCATTCAACCTCAAGGTTGAATTGTAATGCAGAAACAAATATGTGACTTTTAACAGGTTTACTGATACACATCAACTGTTTGCTGGTATACATAGCAGCATATATAAGAAAGAAATTGTGGTATGTCAGCAGTCATATATATTAGATATATACAGTTAATTTATTACTTCTGTGTGATTACTTCATGCCTTATAATCGCGATTTAGCAATGAACATTTTAAGTGACTCCAAAGGTCTTTGTGCAAAGATTGCTGCCAATAAGAATGAGCAGTTTTATATCAGCATCTTTTCCAACTGCAGGCACACTGATCTTTCCCTATATCATAATTTTGCCTATCATTTTTAGAGTCTCCTGTCTTTCCCATTCCAGGATTTTCAAACATTTCCAATATCTCCACAAAGATGCCCCATCACTTATCAGTGGGCAGTCTCTAATACCAAGAATAGTGAAACTGGCATGCACATTATATTTCAGTATAAATTCGTACATAACAAGTGAAAGCTGAAAGAAATATGAAGAAATGTTTGCAGCGAGCTAATGGCAGAGCAGTACAAGAGCATTCATCCTACTTAATAAGGTACATCAGAGGAATGACACTTGGGAGCTACACGTGTTTAGCACATTGCCTGTAAACGGTAAGTCACCGAAATAGGATGGGGTGAGAGCAGTGCATTCTTTTTCGTTGCTGAGGATATCCTGAATATACTATAGTAAGAGACTTGCAATATTACTAGGGTAAGCTGTGCCCACATTGGATTATTTATAACGCTGTACAAAATTATTATGCGCACTAGTACACGGTGCGGTTATGGATTCAGAAAATTTGCATATTACACATTTTATTGGACAATGGAAGGTTAAAAAAAGTAAAGTCACCCTGTAACAGGCCGTGGATGCCCATAGGATTGTGAGACATCGAGGGTTCCACATTTTCTAGACAGTCTGCTCACAGATGGCAATGAGGTCAGCTTTATGCGCTGGCCTCTCTTTCCTCTCAGGATGATTCCTGTTACTCATTTCTGCTAGAGGCTGAGGCCACTTCAGGACAATAATGTGGGTGGAAGGATTAGGCCAATTGAAAAATCCAGTGACCTCATCGAGAATCGAACCTGTGACCTTCTGGCTGGTAGCATAGTGCCCCATCTAAACAGTACTTGCCAGAAAATTCAGCGGTTAGAAAATTGTTATATTTATGCAGTAGCTTCTTGAGTACCATCAAAAGGATGATTCAGACTGGTTCTCCAAGTAAATAATGGTCAAAGCACCCCTTGTACATTCATTTATTCATTCAAATAATGGTCAAGTCAGTTTATGAGCCTGTAGAAACTCGAACATATAACACAAAGTTGATGGAACAGGGCCTCTAGCTTAAGAAGTATCCATGTGTTTTCTGTTGTGTCAGAAGAAATTAGTTGTTTCTTTCCAATTAGTGAATGAAATAATTTCTCTCAGTTACACCCAGTATTGTTACAGATCATTCACAAACTGTGCCATTAATTTATTTCCTTTGGCTTTCTTGTTTTATATTTCATTAAATTCTCTCATTCAAACATGCCTGATGCATCGAACTCAGAACCATAGTGCGGCTGGAAAGATTAGGTCAATTTAAAAATCCAATGGCCTCACTGGGAATAGAACCTGCAACCTTCTGGCCTGTAATTTACCAACTTTTAAGATCATTTATGGACCTCTGAATGAAGTTTCAAACACAAAATTAATTTTCAGTTTGGGTAAATACTGTAACGTGTTTACGTTACCGATCCCACTTCTGACACCAGTGTAACGTGTTTCGTTACTGAAGACGCCGTAGAGATGGTTAATTGGTTTATTTAACAATCTACAAATAACGGCTACAATTACTTATCTCACAGTTGCGGGGTTTCACACTTTATAACCCTAATCGCATTAATCTGTTAACACTGTTGCGGGGTTTCACACTTTATAACCCTATGCGCAAATCAGTTCACTCTGTCTTCAGTAGTCTACACGTTTACAGTAGGGGAGCTTTGTATCACTGTATCACACGCTCCCAATTACACAATCGCACACACGTCCGGATCTTCTTACCGCGACGGCTGCTATACTCCAACTGTAGCCTGCTGACTTGAGGACTGTTGATAACACACTCGCTCGTAGGCTTGCTCGGAACTGAACTCGGCGATGGCCACATTACAACTACTCTCACGCNCCCGCCGCGTCACTGCTGGTGTGTGGGGGGGGGGCTCGGCTCGGCGCAACATGTCACAATACTATCAAGATCTAATGTTTAATCCAGATTAAATGAAACTGGAATGATGAGACTTTTCACTGCTGAAACTAAATAAATATGGAAAACTTTTGCCTGCCATATTTTAGGTGGTTCAGGTGTGGCACCAAATTGATATGTATTATGCCTTATGACGAAGCCAACAAGTTATGACGACTATAAGTTTGGGTTATAATTCAGAAATACCAAGTACTCAAACACGAAAAATTCCATTTGTAAATGTATGCATCAAGGTCAACCTTCACATGCCTGTGATGAAATGTAACCTGTATACACTCTGCTTAAAGCTAAGTCCTGCTTAGTCTGTTCCATATTCAGTGTTTCCTCAGAATAACATTAGACATCTGCAAATCGCATAAGGCACTAAGGCCTTCAGAATCATATTTGACTGATATGTCATTCTCATAACCATTTCATTTCTTTGATATTCCAAGGCAGGCATGAGGAAACAATTTTGGTACATATTTAGTATTATCTTATTCCATTATTTACTTACTTACTTACTTATGGAGCTGAGCCCTTCTTGAGAAGCCAAATCTGCAGCTACTCAAGAATTTCCCAGCATTTTATGGAACCCAAAGGTTCATTACCGTGTTCACAAGAGCCCTCCACAGGCACCTATCCTGAGCCAGCTCAACCCAGTCCATACCATCTCATCCTATATCTCCAAGATCCATTTTAATTTTGTTCACCCACCTATGCCTTGGTCTTCCCAGTGGTCTCTTTCCTTCTGGCTTTCCCACCAATATCCTATATGCATTCCTCGTCCCCCCCATTCGTGCTACATGACCTGTCAATCTCATTCTCGACTTGAACATTCTAATTATCCTTGGCGTACAAGATATGAAGCTCCTCATTATGCAGTTTTCCTCATCATCCCGTCACTTCATCCCTCTTCGGTCCAAATATTCTCCTCAACGCCCTGTTCTCAGACACCCTCAGTTTATGTTCCTCCCTTAATGTCAGAGACCAAGTTTCACATCCATGCAGAACCACAGGCAAAATTATAGTTTTGTATATTCTAATTTTTATGTCTTTGGACTGCAGACAAGAAGACAAAAGCTTCTGGACTGAATCGTAGCAAACATTACCAGAGTTCAATCTTCTCTTAATTTCCTCCTCAATCAGGTTTTGATTTGTTATCGTCGTTCCCAAATATCTTAACTGTGCCACATTTTCAAAACATCTGTTTCCTGTCTTTATGTCATTATTTTGCCCTGCATTTTTGTGATGAGACAGCAACATATACTTAGTTTTCTCTGTGTTTACTTCTAGACCAACCTCCTTACTTGCGTCAATTGAAGTTTGTGTGTTTTTCTTTATGGTATCTGTATTATCACCCAGTAGATGTTCCCATCATCGGCATAGACCAGCAGTTGATGTGTCCCGTTTAATTTCAGTCCCACATGGTTTTCTTGAACCTTCCTAATGGCATAGTCTAAAGCAGGCATGTCAAACTCAACTTCTACAGAGGGCCACCTCAGCCCTATAAATAATAGTCCAGGGCTGCACTTCAGAATAGAAATATACGTATATTAGATTGCGATACTCGTAGTTGATAATTTAATGTTTAATTATAACCTTTATACATTCATCACAATGTAACATCAGCACCTGGAGACCACCGGTCTAGTAGGAAGGTGTATCTTGTCTCAATGGTCATAAAAGTGAAAGTTTGCTAGCAGCCCATTAAGTAATGGCTGGGGGTTGCAAGCTAGTTTTGAAGGTATAAATCCCTTGCAGTTGTCTGTCAGTTGCTACCCTCCTTGCATTCTTACTACGCCTCCAAAAGGGAATCTTGGAAATACTTTGGGTGGTGAGGCTTTGCGGATTTTAGTGCATTAACCTTCTGAAATAGAATAGTTGTTCTTCACGAACTTTACAAACCGTTAGTTGAACAAACCCTTCTGCAATTGTCAGAATACTTTTCCTGCAGCCTGCTAATTTATGTGCGTTAGGGCTCCTGTCTTCTGGTCTGCTGGAAAATTGTCTTTACAAAAAATATTTCTACTAAAATTTTAATATTGATTTTAATATCAATTAGATCTAAAAGTTGAGGGGCCACACTTT